ATGACAGTGCTCGTGGGCCCAAATCTAAATATGTATTTGCAATCTGAACTGCTGATAATGTAGCTGCAGGTAGTGACAATCTCAATTTAGTGGAGCAGGTCAATTTATTGTTCAGGAGATGCTCTGCCCAGTACTGTTATTCACATGCTTCAGGCCCTTCTACCGTTAAGAAAATAGTGTTTCACCCTCTTTGCACACAGGAGCAGAGGGATCAAAAGTCGCTTTTTTAGGGGCAGGACAACACTGTCATACTACTATAGCCAGACCTTTAAGTCAACAAATGGTTGATGAGAGAACAAGAAGACATCATTTCATGACTTCTTTATGCAGCGTAGCTCGATAGTCATTGCTTACCTGACAGGCCAGTAGTTGTAATAACGAGAGTTGGTAAGGTTGCCAGTATCCCACATCAATAAATACCATCTTAAAGGCGTGATTTCAAAAGGTAGTGTTCATTTATTTAGTGCATAAAGCAGCCTGGCTGTGGCAACATCATAAGCAACAATACCACCTTAATGGTAGTGACCGCAGCCCTTGTGTCACCTTACTAAAAGTACCGCAAGAAAGAGCTGACATTACCTCTACAGTTTTGCATCGTCATAAATCAAGTTAAAGCGATTTGCTAATGGTCTGAAAATCCTAAAACAAGTGAAAGTAATTTACTGGTGGAGTGAGATTACGAAACATTTTGAGGGCATACATTGCTGAAATCTCACCGTATTAGCAACTGTAGCATACATTTTGTTTGGGAATATGCATGCTTCCTGCTATTACTACAACAAAGAAATGGGGTTCAATGTTTTGACTAAGATAGCTCCTGAGCATAGGGCTAGATTGACGTTGTGAAGGAATATTGTGCTTTATACTGCATTGCACGTCATTTTGAATTTGTTGTGCGGCTATCTTTTTCTTTATTACAGCTACAGTATGTCCTAGCGTATAAACAAATCAAGACCTTGATGTTACTCGTCGCTCTAACCTTTAATTTGCTATCCTAGGTGCTGCAGTGGCTGCTCCACCTGGTGAGGCCGTGGCCTCCTCTTGGCCACCTCTCTTTGCTGTCCAAGATGGTGAGGTACGTATCTGGGCCTACAGGACATTTTGTCTATTGTTTTCACTTCATTGACTTGTTCAGGAGAACAGACTAATGGCAGAAAAAACAAGGACACAAACAGGCAGGCACACAAAAAGGCAAGCACAGGTACTGACTTAAAGGTGCACTAAAGATGTTTCTCAGATTGTCTGTTCTTGGTGATAACTCATTCGACAGGCTCTAAGCATCCTAAATACCCAAAAAATTATGCTCGTTCCATTCCTATTTTCCTTCTAAAAATAAAAATAAAAGAACATTTTTAAGTCTTGCCATAGGACGAGCAGGTGAACTATCTTTGAAAAAGTGTACATGCGAATGACAGTGACATCAGTGCTATCTGATAGCCGTGTCCCACAAATTACAGTTTAGCAGTGCCAATAATACCTATCCAGGAATTGGTAAGCTAGCCCGCTTCACTAGTGTAGACTAGCAAAGAAGACAGAGTATGGATGGATGATAAGGGCTTATACCCTTTGTAATGGGCGGCAGCTTGTGCCCCCTAGCCTTGCATTTCGTCATCCCTTCTTTTTTATTTTAAATTGTATAAATTTTGTTCTAACACCACCCTTAGCGAAAAACCGGGGCTCTTAGAGTATACTTTATTTGCACTTCCAGAAGTATGCTTGATGCTCTAAATTGGCCGGGTTTTAGTATACTTCTGACGCACTTCAAAAGTAGCATTTCGCCATACTTTTAGTATACTTCTAAGCATACCTGTAAGAGGCATTTTAGTATACTTCTGACGCACTTCGAAAGTAACATTTCGCTATCCTTTTATGATACTTCTAAGCATGCCTGTAAAAGGCATTTTAGTACACTTCTTACGCACCTCAGAAGTAACATTTCGCCATCCTTTTAGGATACTTCTTCTAGTACACTTCTGAGCAGAATTTTAGTATGCTTTTATGCAGGCCTTTAGTACTATAAATTTTACCCCGGATTAAACTTGGAAGCAGGCTTTCAAATATAATCGTGGGTACACTTAATAGTTCACTAATTTATTCCTTACCAATTCCATAAAAGAAAAGTAGAAAATTATATTGATTTAGCAATTGCAGTGGTTTGCACTTATCGAAACTGAAATGCATTATGTTACAGGCTTCAATGTAGAGGAGTTCAAAGTGATGACAAATTAAAGTAATAAATTTTTATTAAACAGATATTTATTTCAATAGAATGAACACATGTTGCCTACAACAAACACTTACGATGGAACAAAAAACGTAATACTTTTAGTGGCTTACAAATATCACAGATGCACTTAAAGCTTTAAAAACAAGCTCGTATTAGAAGAAAAAAATAATTACAAACTATCATGCTGAAGAAAAACGAGCAAAAATAGTATTGCACCTGTTAATATAAAACCTACAATATTTATCATCTACCATGACTGAAGTAACATCACCTACATGACTAAAGTAAAAGGAATGAAAAAAGTTAATGCACTTGTTAAATAAAATCTAAATTAATCGCTGATCAGATTTAAGAGAGAAAAAAAAGCCAATGCGCAAAATGAATAAAAATGGAAGCTAATTTTTTTTTTTCATTCTGCAGTTTTCTTTTGTGTGTTGGAGGCTTTGTTTTGAGTGTAGGAAGCATTGCTGCACTTCCTTTACAGGTATTCTTTCACGGACTTCCGAATTTCTCCAGGGAATTGGCAGTGACAAAAGCTGAAAAGAGAAGACAATAGACAATTAAGGAACTTGCCTTAAGACTCCATATTTACTTAATACTACTTAAAATTATACTTCAGGTCCACATAATTTTAGAAAATTTCACAAAGAGAAACCAACAACAAAAAGTTAATCATCTAAATATATTGAGCACAGGGACCAATGACTATGTTTATTGGCAACTGTGAAATATTTCTGCTGTGAAATAATGTCAAAAAAAGGCATTTCGTCAATTTGCATTGCATTAAAGGGATCATGAAACAAGTTTACTGTGGAAACAGTCTGGAGCTCGTTACTTTTATTTCTTTTACCTTATCACAAGTACGAGAAAACACACCGTGATCCCTCAAAATGTCGCGAGCGCACTGCGTAATCAGAAAGGAAAAAAAGGGTCCATTTTTCATCATGCAGCTTATGGTGGCCTCAGGAACTACTGGCTTGGCGCCAATGGTGGTCGAGTTTGCGAGTTCAGCAGGTATCTGCCCAATTTGAAGCTAAGGTTGTCATTCACTCATTTGGCCCCCCAATTCATGTCACACGCACGTGACCTGGAAAGGACTATAAAGGTTGAGGGGCCCCCCAAGCTTGAGTCTATTTAATTTTTAAATAAAACTAGTGCACCTTGGAAAAACTTGTTTTCTGATCTTCACTGTACATGCGATGGTCAGATACTGCCACACTTACTTGGCCGAAGTCTGAAGACTATTTCATAACCCCTTTAAAAGCCTGCAAACATAACATTCATTGTGACAGGGACTCTCAAACTTTCTGACATCAGCGAACAAAAATTTACTATAGTTATTGTTAGCCGAGGAGCCCCTTCCACTCTTGGCATTGTTGCAATTGAGTGTATGACAATGGTGTAGGAACGATCGAGGAAGTTCAGGTGCTGAAAGAACCCTCAGTATACTGTACTAGGAACCCTGTTCGAGAACCAGTGCCTCAGGGTATCTGGCTAGAAAGTCGGAGATAGCGTAGCTAGACAATAATTTTAAACACACAAATGACCACATTTTTTAATTTTGATTCTGACATCTATTTTATATTATAATTCAGGGTTTACTGATATAAAACCAACTGAGGCCATACTGTACGAAACAATTACTTTAAAAACAACTGAACAAGCTGAAAGTTTTTGAAAGATTCAGCAGCCTAAAGCTGGGGTAAACAGTCAGCTGTCTTCAGAAAATTGTACACAAAAGTAAACAATACTGAAGTTTCGTTAAGTTTAATCGCTGATATAAATCGACGATCAAAATTAAGCTGAAGGAACATCAGAGTGAAATATAATCTAGGCAAAAATTAAAGTATGCTAGAACTGGGGCACATTATTGGAAACCAGAGGTGTAGCGCAAGACGTAATGACACAAAAAGACAAATACCTTCTCCAACATAAGCCAAAAAGAAACAACCATCCATGAGTACCGAGACACAAGTCCAATGGTGACCAGACAAAAGCTCACCGGACAGAAGGTCACCCGTTTTTTTCGTAGACCCACACAATAGCTCACCCCCTTTTTTTTTGGCTACCCGGTGAATCACGAGCTGGACCAAAGTGCGGACGCAATGGACATTGCACTATTTTTAGAAGTGGTACCCCATCTCATGCAACGGTGTCGACAGGTAAGCCATAACAGGCACAGAAGCAACGATTTGGGACAAAAATTTAGGTCACCAAACTGAGTGGAGCTGAAGCTGATAAGATCAATCTGGGTTGACTCAAGGTATGCCACAACCGTCTGGAAAATATTTGCAAGGGGCTCCAGGTACACCGAGATCTACCAAGACTGCTGGAGGCAGCCTGTACGGGACTGCATTTCCTTCTAACCAATCGATAAACTTGTTTCCAGTCTAATCAACAAACCATGTGCCTATCAGGTTTAATTCATTGTTGTGTTTTAGTGTCGCACACATGGATTGAAGTTACAAAGATGAAAGAGCGTGTTGGTGAAAATACGGGAGTCAAAGAAAGAATAAAAACACTTAAGGACAAGGACAGACAGCACAGTTCTTTCAACTAGCAACACACATTTACTGGTGTCTCCTTTAATAGTGCTATCTTCTTCCTAACGTTTGAGACTAAAGAGGAAGATGCGGAATTAATATATTCATATACACCCGGAAAAAACCACACAAATTTACACCCAATACACTAAATATAAAGAATTCAGAAAGAAAAAAAAAAGAAGAAAAAGAAAAACACTATTGACAAATTGAGATAGAGCGCCCTTTGGCTAATCCAGCTCTGGTTTCAGGTAGTTGATCTCATTTCTGGACAAGGCGAGAGAAGGGGCAGCGATGTTGTGATCGTCATGGGCTATCTTGTATGCCTCAATGATCTCTCTCCCGAGCTTGTTCTTATGTCTCCCAATCGTGCAGGTGTCCTGGAACCGGGCTTCACAGTTTGTACAGAGACGTTGATGAACCACTATTGGGTGAAAAGTGTCGTCCGAAGCACGAGAGACCTCGAGGACGTGCTCTCGTAGGCGCGTGTTAAGGCAACGACCCGTCTGTCCAATGTATCGGTCGCCACAGGAGAGAGGGATGGGGTATACCACCCCCTCTTCACAGGGAACGGTCTGATGAGCGTGTTTGATGGAACATCTTTTGATGGATTCGTTATTGTTCACACGCCTGCACAGTTGTTTCAGGCGCAACTTGCACGAGAAGACAACCGAAACGTTGAAGCGCGCTGCAATTGCCTTCAGTCTGTGCGCCGAGTTGTGCACATAGGGAATGCAGATAACGCGTGAAGGCTTACTACGTGGAGCACGGGGCCTTTGGGTGGTTAGAATTAACTGAACAAGAATGGTGCTCAGTAGACCTTGCGGATAACCTGCTCTGAGGAGACGTTCTTGTTGTTTTGCAATGCTGAAGCTTGCAAAGTGAGAACATGATTTGGTGCGAGAAGATGAGAGGAGAGACCGGATGATTCCATGTTTTACCAGTTTAGAATGGGAACTGCAGAATGGAAGAATAGGTTTCCGAGACCGTTGTTGGAAGGCCCAACAAATGCCGGTCGGAAGAAGATGCAGACGAAGATCGAGATACTGGAGACCATCGCCTGAGCTGTCTTCCCTTGTGAAATTCAGGCCTGAGGACGAAGCAGTGAAGGCTTGAACTACAGAATCAGAATAAACTGAGATCGGGTGAATGTCTAAATAATCATCCACGTAACGAAAAACATGGAAGACAAGTGACAACTCTTCAAGGCGTGCTTCAATCTCCCCATCCACACACGTTAGAAATAGTTCGCTGAGGATTGGGGCAAGGCAGGAGCCTATGCAGACACCCTTCTTTTGCCTGAGAATTTCCTTTCCATGTTCGACGAGTGTTGATTGTAGATATAGGGCCAAAAGGTCTAGGAAACCCCGTTCAGATACCCCAGATGAGTTCTGAAAGTCGCATGGGCCATGTTCGTGGATGGCACTTGACACAGAATCCATAAGAAATGCGGGATCTAATCGGTAATATAGTTCCTCAATATCTAACGAAAACATGGTAAAGGCCTCGGAAGTTGAATGGAGGTCATGAAGTCGGGATACAAGTTCTGTGGAGTTGGCAACTCTGAAAGGTTGGTTGAGACTGATCGATGACAGATGCTTTTGCAGAAAAAGACCAAGAGGCTTCTGCCAACATCCCTTTTCTGAAATGATGCTTCTTAAGGGAACTCCTTCTTTATGGGTTTTTGCCGTGAAAAACACAGTTAGGTATTGCTTGGAAGGAGCCCCAATGGCAGCTTTAAGAGCCGGGATATTAAGGGAGCAGCAAAGTTGCTTTGCCTTTGAACGGAGAGACCCTGAAGGCCTGGTCTTCAGAATATCAAAATTATTTTTCAATGCCTGGCTCACCTTCTGCCCATAGGAACCTTCATCTAAGATGACAAAAACACCTGTTTTATCTGATTCCAGTAGTTTCAGGTGACTTCTTTGCAATTCTTCGACTGTAGCCCGGATCGGAACTTTGCCCATAGGTGGAGGAGCATGGGCGCAGGCGGATCGGACTCCAGCATCAAGAAAAGCTTGCCGGTCTTGTTCTGGAATGTGAGTCGCAACATAATGGACTGAAGTTAGTTGGTCGACCCTTGTAGTCGGAAGGTTCGGGGAAAACTTGGGACCCTTGGAAAGGAGATCCAAGGTGCCAGAACTTAGTTGATGATCACATAGAACGACCGGAGGCTCCAATTTCGTTTGGGGGGTCTTATGGTGAATAGTGGTCACACCGGTGACAACCTTCTTCCATGAAGATTCGAGAAGATTGGACGCAGCCTTTTGGAGGAACCGGAAAGATGAGTGGGTTCCATAACCTGGTCCAAAGATGATGGTCATCTGTTGTGGGAGGATCGTTTCCATCAGGCGTAACTGTCGTGACACCTCCTTCCTTGAAATTTGCATGAGTCTGTAGTTTGAAGCCCAGTTGTGGCAACAGAAACCCAGCATAGCTTCCACTCCAGGGTGAGGAATGCCTTTGCGGATGTGAAGCCCAAGGGAACGTAGCCTGAGGCGAAGAAGGGCCATGCTTGAAAAGAAGCTTGCTGCTTGAAAAAACCTTACAGGGTCGAATTCAGACGGTTTGAAGGTGGGACATGGACAAGACATAGAAAGCTCAAAAATATAAGAGACAAAGATGAAAGAGCGTGTTGGTGAAAATACGGGAGTCAAAGAAAGAATAAAAACACTTCAGGACAAGGACAGACAGCACAGTTCTTTCAACTAGCAACACACATTTACTGGTGTCTCCTTCAATAGTGCTATCTTCTTCCTAACGTTTGAGACTAAAGAGGAAGATGCGGAATCAATATATTCATATACACCCGGAAAAAACCACACAACCTTACACCCAATACACTAAATATAAAGAATTCAGAAAGAAAGAAAAAAGAAAAAGAAAAACACTATTGACAAATTGAGATAGAGCGCCCTTTGGCTAATCCAGCTCTGGTTTCAGGTAGTTGATCTCATTTCTGGACAAGGCGAAAGAAGGGGCAGCGATGTTGTGATCGTCATGGGCTATCTTGTATGCCTCAATGATCTCTCTCCCGAGCTTGTTCTTATGTCTCCCAATCGTGCAGGTGTCCTGGAACCGGGCTTCACAGTTTGTACAGAGACGTTGATGAACCACTATTGGGTGAAAAGTGTCGTCCGAAGCACGAGAGACCTCGAGGACGTGCTCTCGTAGGCGCGTGTTAAGGCAACGACCCGTCTGTCCAATGTATCGGTCGCCACAGGAGAGAGGGATGGAGTATACCACCCCCTCTTCACAGGGAACGGTCTGATGAGCGTGTTTGATGGAACATCTTTTGATGGATTCGTTATTGTTCACACGCCTGCACAGTTGTTTCAGGCGCAACTTGCACGAGAAGACAACCGAAACGTTGAAGCGCGCTGCAATTGCCTTCAGTCTGTGCGCCGAGTTGTTCACATAGGGAATGCAGATAACGCGTGAAGGCTTACTACGTGGAGCACGGGGCCTTTGGGTGGTTAGAATTAACTGAACAAGAATGGTGCTCAGTAGACCTTGCGGATAACCTGCTCTGAGGAGACGTTCTTGTTGTTTTGCACTGCTGAAGCTTGCAAAGTGAGAACATGATTTGGTGCGAGAAGATGAGAGGAGAGACCGGATGATTCCATGTTTTACCAGTTTAGAATGGGAACTGCAGAATGGAAGAATAGGTTTCCGAGACCGTTGTTGGAAGGCCCAACAAATGCCGGTCGGAAGAAGATGCAGACGAAGATCGAGATACTGGAGACCATCGCCTGAGCTGTCTTCCCTTGTGAAATTCAGGCCTGAGGACGAAGAAGTGAAGGCTTGAACTAAAGAATCAGAAGAAACTGAGATCGGGTGAATGACTAAATAATCATCCACGTAACGAAAAACATGGAAAACAAGTGACAACTCTTCAAGGCGTGCTTCAATCTCCCTATCCACATACGTTAGAAATATTTCGCTGAGGATTGGGGCAAGGCAGGAGCCTATGCAGACACCTTTCTTTTGCCTGAGAATTTTCTTTCCATGTTCGACGAGTGTTGATTGTAGATATGGGGCCAAAAGGTCTAGGAAACCCCGTTCAGATACCCCAGATGAGTTCTGAAAGTCGCATGGGCCATGTTCGTGGATGGCACTTGACACAGAATCCATAAGAAATGCGGGATCTAATCGGTAATATAGTTCCTCAATGTCTAACGAAAACATGGTAAAGGCCTCGGGAGTTGAATGGAGGTCACGAAGTCGGGATACAAGTTCTGTGGAGTTGGCAACTCTGAAAGGTTGGTTGAGACTGATCGATGACAGATGCTTTTGCAGAAAAAGACCAAGAGGCTTCTTCCAACATCCCTTTTCTGAAATGATGCTTCTTAAGGGAACTCCTTCTTTATGGGTTTTTGCCGTGAAAAACACAGTTAGGTATTGCTTGGAAGGAGCCCCAATGGCAGCTTTAAGAGCCGGGAGATTAAGGGAGCAGCAAAGTTGCTTTGCCTTTGAACGGAGAGACCCTGAAGGCCTGGTCTTCAGAGTATCAAAATTCTTTTTCAATGCCTGGCTCACCTTCTGCCCATAGGAACCTTCATCTAAGATGACAAAAACACCTATTTTATCTGATTCCAGTAGTTTCAGGTGACTTCTTTGCAATTCTTCAACTGTAGCCCGGATCGGAACTTTGCCCGTAGGTGGAGGAGCATGGGCGCAGGCGGATCGGACTCCAGCATCAAGAAAAGCTTGCCGGTCTTGTTCTGGAATGTGAGTCGCAACAGAATGGACTGAAGTTAGTTGGTCGACCCTTGTAGTCGGAAGGTTCGGGGATGTTGGCAGAAGCCTCTTGGTCTTTTTCTGCAAAAGCATCTGTCATCGATCAGTCTCAACCAACCTTTCAGAGTTGCCAACTCCACAGAACTTGTATCCCGACTTCATGACCTCCATTCAACTCCCGAGGCCTTTACCATGTTTTCGTTAGACATTGAGGAACTATATCACCGATTAGATGCCGCATTTCTTATGGATTCTGTGTCAAGTGTCATCCACGAACATGGCCCATGCGACTTTCAGAACTCATCTGGGGTATCTGAACGGGGTTTCCTAGACCTTTTGGCCCTATATCTACAATCAACACTCGTCGAACATGGAAAGGAAATTCTCAGGCAAAAGAAAGGTGTCTGCATAGGCTCCTGCCTTGCCCCAATCCTCAGCGAAATATTTCTAACGTATATGGAAAGGGAGATTGAAGCACGCCTTGAAGAGTTGTCACTTGTCTTCCATGTTTTTCGTTACGTGGATGATTATTTAGTCATTCACCCGATCTCAGTTTCTTCTGATTCTGTAGTTCAAGCCTTCACTTCTTCGTCCTCAGGCCTGAATTTCACAAGGGAGGACAGCTCAGGCGATGGTCTCCAGTATCTCGATCTTCGTCTGCATCTTCTTCCGACCGGCATTTGTTGGGCCTTCCAACAACGGTCTCGGAAACCTATTCTTCCATTCTGCAGTTCCCATTCTAAACTGGTAAAACATGGAATCATCCGGTCTCTCCTCTAATCTTCTCGCACCAAATCATGTTCTCACTTTGCAAGCTTCAGCATTGCAAAACAACAAGAACCTCTCCTCAGAGCAGGTTATCCGCAAGGTCTACTGAGCACCGTTCTTGTTCAGTTAATTCTAACCACCCAAAGGCCCCGTGCTCCACGTAGTAAGCCTTCACGCGTTATCTGCATTCCCTATGTGCACAACTCGGCGCACAGACTGAAGGCAATTGCAGCGCGCTTCAACGTTTCGGTTGTCTTCTCGTGCAAGTTGCGCCTGAAACAACTGTGCAGGCGTGTGAACAATAACGAATCCATCAAAAGATGTTCCATCAAACACGCTCATCAGACCGTTCCCTGTGAAGAGGGGGTGGTATACTCCATCCCTCTCTCCTGTGGCGACCGATACATTGGACAGACGGGTCGTTGCCTTAACACGCGCCTACGAGAGCACGTCCTCGAGGTCTCTCGTGCTTCGGACGACACTTTTCACCCAATAGTGGTTCATCAACGTCTCTGTACAAACTGTGAAGCCCGGTTCCAGGACACCTGCACGATTGGGAGACATAAGAACAAGCTCGGGAGAGAGATCATTGAGGCATACAAGATAGCCCATGACGATCACAACATCGCTGCCCCTTCTCTCGCCTTGTCCAGAAATGAGATCAACTACCTGAAACCAGAGCTGGATTAGCCAAAGGGCGCTCTATCTCAATTTGTCAATAGTGTTTTTCTTTTTCTTTGTTCTTTCTTTCTGAATTCTTTATATCTAGTGTATTGGGTGTAAATTTGTGTGGTTTTTTCCGGGTGTATATGAATATATTAATTCCGCATCTTCCTCTTTAGTCTCAAACGTTAGGAAGAAGATAGCACTATTGAAGGAGACACCAGTAAATGTGTGTTGCTAGTTGAAAGAACTGTGCTGTCTGTCCTTGTCCTTAAGTGTTTTTATTCTTTCTTTGACTCCCGGATCGAAGTTGTCTGCACTCGTGTTAAGACCAACATGAAATTTTCACGTGGTGAGCTTTTGACCGGTAAGCTTCTGTCTGGTGAGCTTTTGTCCAAGATTTAAGTCCAATATATGTCAAGAGTAGACTTAGTATTTGTTCCTGTTAAGTTTGATTGCAATAGTGCCTTGCCATTTCTTCTTTGCGGCAATTTACTCACCTATCAAGTCCTTAACTCCGTTTTTAGGAAGCTTTCCCTTCATTGCCGACCCCGTAAGGCAGCAGTTTGTCAGGGCCTCAGTTCCAAATACCATGACTGCGAGTTCCTGAATGTAAATGGATGGCTGCTTCGTGTCGACATGCTTCAACTGCGCTTCAGGAAGCGCAATGTCTCCAAAGGTTATCTGAAACATAAAAATAGAACCAAATACGGTCATTACATCCATATGAATGCCTTTTAGATGAGCGCATGTGCACGAATGGCCGTGACATGCTGGTGGTAAGGAAGTGTTTGATGAAGAGAGCTAGCTAATAGTAAAGAGGGTAATAAGGCTAGTTTGAACATTTACTACATAAAGTCCACTGGTCAGGCTAGTTACCATCACATTGGCGTCAAGCATTTTTGTTTAATAGGGCGATTGATGCCTCACTCACACGCTTTTTTCCTTTTTCCCGAATTTCATATGCTTCACGCAGTTCTCTGCTTGTTCTGTCATTGTATTTGTGAGAATCTTAACATAATGCAATACCGGGGAACAGAGGCATCTGCTGCAGTGAATGGCGAGGTGGCCAGACAGGCTGGCTCGCGTGGCAGCCACATGCTCACGGGCAGGGTCATTCACACATCTGGCCCATATACACTGCCCCTCACAATAATGGTATCTGATAAACAACGCCCAAAACACACCCAGCAATTTTATCCTTGTGTTTTATGCTGCGAGGCTAAGACGGCGGGGCTTGGGCCTGTTGATTCTGTGGCAGAGCCAAGCCATCCTATTGTGTGCCGAAGATATCACAGTAGTGCGGTACCGCTGACCGGCTTCCTTGAATTGTGTGACGCTG